TGGTGTTAGGTCGATGGTGATGGCAGGTTGCTCGGTGCTGAGCTCGGTCACCAGCTCGGCAGAAGGGTCCACACGTGGTCTTTTGCCAGCACGGCGTGTCTCTCCTCTGGCTTGACCAACTGCCGGAGAAGCCAAGGCAACCACGGCCCCATTGGATTGACCGGCAGCAGTTGGGCGGGTTTGGATGCTCGGGATCTCGGTGGAAGTTACGGTGAGTAGGTTCTTGATGCGGCTTCTCTTTGCCATCTCTTCCGCCTCGGTTAACCGGATTAGGGGCACGTCCGGTAGTGTTGGGTCTAGAGGAGGTGATGATGGCCTGCGGGAAGAAAGCTTGATCAAAGAAGAAACCGTGCAAACACTTATGAAAATTTAAGTATAAGTTGGGACTTACCCTGGTCATGGACTTCACTGCGGATTTCACCAACCGGATGTCTGGCACGTAGTCGCTGCCAACCACGTCGCTCGGTAGAATGAGTGCTTTTGAAAGGTCAAAGGCGAGCAGATGCTCTTTGTCGCCCTTGACGGAAGCGGTTGCTGGGATGTCTTTACCCCAGTGTTTGAGTTGGGGCCTCCATGTCGGTGTTGGGTCGACGGTGATGGCAGGTTACTCGGTGCTGAGCTCGGTCACCAGCTCGGCAGAAAGGTCCACACGTAGTCTTTTGCCAGCACGGCGTGTCTCTCCTCTAGCTTGACCAACTGCCGGAGAAGCCAAGGCAACCACGGCCCCATTGGATTGACCGGCAGCAGTTGGACGGGTTTGGATGCTCGGGATCTCGGTGGAAGTTACGGTGAGTAGGTTCTTGATACGGCTTCTCTTTGCCATCTCTTCTGCCTTGGTTAACCGGATTAGGGGCACGTCTGGTAGTGCTGGGTCTGGAGGAGGTGATGGAGCACGGAGAAAGTCTGTGACATTACTCCGGCGTGGAGCAGAGTACCGATAGGTTGGGTTATAGCCGAGCAGCTCGTTACAATCCCGGTTGTTATAACGGAGCACGGCCCTGATGGCTTCTTCGTTGGGATAGTGGTAGTTGGCTTGTAAGGTTTGGATTGCTGCAAAGGAAAGAAGAGAAGTGTTAAAATACAGAATATGGAACAAAGGCAATTGACCGAGCAAGTTGGCACGACTTACATGTGGAATCGAAATTCTTACTGATGAACCAGCCCGGTACGTCGGCCGTTTCATAGTTGCCAGACACCCAGAAAAAGTCGTCATCGTGTAAGTCCTTGTCTGGGGTGCCGGTCACTATCTTTTCTTTGCCCGGTCGAATTTTTAAGTAATAGACGAGGCCGTCGCCCGTGTGCCCAAGTGTGTACTGTCGCAGTATCTCGGCTAAACCTAAGTTGGTCCCTAGCTGGTTATTTAGCTCGTGAATGCCATTGATTATTCGGTAGGTGTTGGTTGATACTTGTATGGGTGCTAGCCCGGTACGGCGCAGGAATTCGGTCAGCAGAGGTTTGACCGGGAAATGGAGGCCTCCTTCAACAATGGAAAGAACGGTGAAGGGGCACTGGTCTAATCTGCCCCAAGGGGTTGTCTCGATCTCGGCGAGCTCTAGGTGAACATTTGCCGGGATGCCGTAGTCTTCCCAGAATACGGCCAAGGCAGTCGGGGTGTCGACAAGGAAGCGAAAGCGCCCCATGTGTAGCCGGCTGGTTTAGCTCGGCTAGGTGGTTTGGCATAGACTGGTGTCTTGATGGTTGCTCGGTCTTTGAGAGCCTCAATATTTGGTCAGTGGTCCCCTTAGACTCTGCAGGAAAAGGATGGCAATGGTAAGTGTGAGCGCGGTCGCGCAAAACGAACTTGACTTTAGCTCGGTTATGAAGAGTGCCAACCACCTCGGTCTTGAAGGCAAACCAAGGAGCTCGGCCACTCAGGCGGACCAGATGTTAGCCCGGTCGAGCGTCTAGGCTCCCTGTCTACCTCGGTTTCTGCTAAAGGTTTTGGTAAACTAGTGAATTGCTCGGTCTTATTGTATTTTGGGATCAAAAAGCGACCTGGAGCCCGGTCCGCCCCAGTTCTTCGCGTATTCATATGTTCATCACTGGGATTGAAGAACAACGAAGAGAATAGGGGCGAATATGGGTTTTGGGGGGGGGCTATGTCCTAAAACCTACGGATTTGGTGCCCTAAAAGGAGAAATATCAAATGAAATGACAATAAGAAGAGTTGAAGGACTTACCAGTTGAGGGCAGTGGCTCATTCTTCGAACACAAACTTTGAAATGGCAAGGAAGGAATGGCACGAGCTCTAAAACGTCAAAGAGAAAGGAAAGGCAAGAAGAGTGGAATGAAGGAGGCTAGACATGCTTATGAGGTTGAAAAGCCGCCAAAATTTGAATGAGATGGGACAGTTAGCTGCTCGAGGCCAATCAACACGCTACACGTGTCCCCCCATTAATGCAGCGTCAGAGTAAAGAGACAGGAAGGTCAGATGAGGCGTCGACCGAGCAAGTCAAGAGACAGGAAGGTCAAACGAGGCGTCGACCAAGCAAGACAAGGAACCGAGCGCGGAAATTAGCCCGGTTTGCCTCTTGCAAATTGTGAACCGAGGAAGAGTTTATCCCAGTCGGAATAGGTAATCCCGGTCATGTTAGCGCGGACGGAATTAAGGGGCAATTGAGAGGGAGAAGTATGATCTGGATTGGGCCATGGTAATACCGGACATATTGTGGGGCGAACACATTTGGGTAGTGGTATCCTGGGTCCACCCAGAAGCAATTTTTGCTCGGCAATGGCAAGGGTGTGTGGAACCGAGCTACTTGACCTTGTTGGCACGGAGGCCAGTCAAGTAAGGGTTCCACGGTTTATGCAGTGCGCGATTGGAAAGAATGTTCATGCCTGAAGCTCGGCATGAATGTTCATGCCTGAAGCTCGGCAGGAAGGCCTTTGGTTGACCGGTATGACCAATCTCAAGCTTGGCTTCGCCGGAATGCAGTCGAGCATGGCTGGAAAGGAGCTCGGTTATTGGAGCACTTGGGAATGAAGTGCAGCATGGTCGTTTACAGCCGAGATGCTGCAGCTTGGCTGCCGAGCTCCCAGTAGAGTGGGTTGGCAGTTGGGTTAGGTGATGTTCAGCAAGATTTGTGCTGACAGATGGGATAGCAGCACCACGTGTCGAGAGATCACTGAGAGTAGGTTTGGGGCGCAGAAGGTATATAAGCATGTCTGTGCCCTCCATATCGGGGATGACATTCCAGTGAGGTAAACACTAAACACCACTCCAGTCCTCTCTCTCTCCATCTCTGTGTGTGTGGCTAACTTGATTGTCGGAGCGGTTTTCCGGCCACACACCGCCGAGTAGCTCACCGCCGTTGTGCTCACAGGTCGATCAGACAGACTGGAGCTTGGAAGAAAGGAGTGCGGGCTTGCCTGAATATTTGCTCCCCATACAACAATAAATCACAGAAATATGGAAGATTCACATAGAAATCCCAGTCAATCCAATTCTTTAATGATTGATCAAATTAAAAATAAAATAAAATAATTTAGTTTCGTTAGCATATAATGGAGGTGTTTGGTGTGGATTATAGAGGTGATTATAATTTATTTTAATTTGGAAATCTATGTCAGACTGTTTGGTGCAGCTTCTGTTTATAGCTTTTTAAGCAGAAATAATTTAAATAAGCTGAGAAAAATTGCTTATTTAAAAGCTAAGAAAGAGGTACATTCAGGGGCGGAGTCACTAAGGGTTTAGGGGGTCACATGCTTCCCCTGACATTTCAACTTTTTTTTTTTGGTTGATACTAACACACAGCACAGCTTCAAACCAAACACTGCTCATTATAAAAAAAAAAAAATATAAAGAAAATATTTTAAATGAAAAAATTTATAAAAATATTATTTAAAGTGAAATGTCAATGACATTTTAAAATTATGAGAACAATAATGGTTATTTTGATTGAAAATAAAGAGACTATGATAAATCATATTATTATTTATGAAAATTTCAATATAATGGTGGTATTTATCATTAGGGTTTGGTTATGGTGTGCAACTTACACCTTACACCTTATACCTTACACTTACACCTTTTGTAAAAAATTAAACCTTACACTTACACCTTTTTTGAGGTTGTACACCATGTGCAACCCACTTACACCTTACACCTTACACTTACACCCTATACTTATACTTACACCTTACACTTACACTTTTTGTGTAAGTGGCACATGGTGTGCACTTGCACACTTAAGAAAACTCCTTATCATTATTGACATACAAACATAATTAATTTCAATGAAGATATGAAATTTATTGGATTGTTAGTTACATTTGACATGTGGAGTTTATCCTCCATCTGTTTCTTTCCATTCATAATTAAAATGACCACTATATAAATTATAATCAAGCAACACATATTCAATTATAAAAAAAAAAAATTAAAAAAAAATTACAATAAGTCAGAACTAATATCAGAATGAGTCATAACTAATTATTACTTAATATATAGTCAAAACCAAAATAACAACCACAAGAAGTTATAACTAAATTATATCTAGCACTATAATGTGTTATAACTAAAGATCACAAAAATTATAATTGTGACACATGATAGATACTTTTTTGCGGTATGTTTTATAGAATTTCTCTACTAAAATATATCATTTATATTTCAACTTATCTTCTTTTTAAATTTTCCAATCCACCTATAAAATAGTTACTCTCCAATATTTGTATACAATTTAATCTCAAATACTTTAATTTAAAATTCACATTTATTCAAATGAACTCTTAACATTTAAGTTTTGTAATATCTCATTGTTGTTTATTATAACGAAAAAAAAAATTAATGTTGCCATTAATTTGTGCCCCTCTACACTGAATTCCTAATTACGCCACTGGATACATTTAATTTCTACTTTTTTATTATTAACTTTTAACTTATAATAAGTTGTATCAAACGGATATCCTTAGAAATTGCTAAGTGTATAATTTTAAGTTATTGGATGGCATTGGATTAAGTTTTTAATTGATTTGGATTTACATTGATCAGTATCCTATTTTGGGTTAATTACACCAAACATTTTTGAAAAGAGAGAGATCTGATTCAGTTACAACTCTCAATCAATCTGTACACATTCAAAAGCTTCATATACGCATATTTCGCTCCTCTCCCTCTCCTTTCAAAATCTGCCTGCCTTCCCTTTCTCTTCATTGTTGCATTGTTTGATTCAATTCATTGACAAACCAATCCAAAAAACAAAATGGGTTTTCCAAAACTATTCCATCGAAAGAAGAAACTAGCCTCTGCATCAATGACCCCATCCCTCTTGGGCTCACGATCCAACTCTCTCAACTCTCGCGCCCAGATCGAAGAAGAACTCAAGCAAGTCTTCAAAAAATTCGACGTCAATGGCGACGGAAAGATCTCATCCTCCGAACTCGGCTCCATCCTCGGCAGCCTTGGCCACACCGCCACGGATGAGGAACTCCAGACGATGATCAAGGAGGTCGACGCCGACGGCGATGGATGCATCGATCTCGACGAGTTCATCGAGCTCAACACCAAAGACATCGATTCCGATGAGGTTTTGGAGAATCTCAAAGAGGCTTTTTCTGTGTTTGATATCGATAAGAACGGATCCATCTCTGCCGAGGAATTGATGAATGTGCTTCAGAGCCTCGGCGAGGAATGCTCCATCGGTGAGTGTAGGAAGATGATCAGTGGAGTCGATTGTGATGGCGATGGAACCATCAGTTTTGACGAGTTTAAGGTTATGATGATCAAAGGATCTCGTTTCGATGCCATGGAAGGACAGAGAACAAATAGTGTTAAGATCGATTGATCGGAGAAACAGATATCATCATCATCATCAAGTACATGTTTCATTGATTTTATTCTTCTTCTTCTTCTTCTTCTTCTTCTTCTTCTTCTTCTTCTTATTATTATTACTATTGTTTCTCACTTATTTGAGTTATATATAAATTTTCTTTTCTTTTCTTTTGCTTTTGGTTTTCTTGAGATGGAAAATTATTGGAATGCAGGGATTTGGAGCAAGTGCAAATACATGAATGGTCTCTGCATTTTCATTCATTTATGGAATTTATTATTCCTTTTAATTTTCAATGTTTTCTTTTCTTTCCATGTGGTTTGGTTTGTCAATTAGTATGGTGTTTTGAAAAGATGATTAAAAATTAATTTTTTATTTTTTTAATTTTTTTTTTACTCAAAATAAATTAAAAGTTAATTTTTGACTTTTTTTGATTTATTGCCAAAATAGCCCATGCTTTATTGTCTAATTTGTATTTTATTTTGATTTTGAATAATTAATTGCTTGGAAAGATTGATTGGTCCCTAAGAAAATTTATTACAAAGTCATGAATTATGATTTAGGTAATGTTTGATAGAGGTTTTTAAATATAATTTGGGAATAAGAGTTGAATTTTGAGTTTGTAAGTTTTGAAATTATGATTTGAGTGTGAAAAATTTGTTTGGTGAATGAGTTTTGAAAAGAGTTTTGGATTGAGTAGGAAATTTTTGATTTCACATATGATATTTAATACAAAAACTTACAATTCATAACCAAACATACAATTCAAAATTATATTCAAAACTCATAAAAATATAAAAAATAACAGGTGTCAATTGTTTTAAAAAATGTACAGGTCAATTGGCCGGACATTTGGGAGGACGATCGGTCAGACGTGGTTAGCCCAAATTTTCCAGCCTCCGACAGAGTTTTTAAAAGTAGATGTGAAATTAGTTTTTGAAAACGACAACCAAACATCACACATAAATTAAGAGGTAAAAATATATTTTCAAAACTCTTCTAAACATAGCCTTAGTTTTTTTTTCCTAATTAAGAAAAAATCGAATCGTGTCAACGATGTATGTGGTTATCAATTTCCTATTTAGGATAGAATATTGGAATGGTTGACAATAGAAAGAATTATAGAACAATACAAAGTTTTATTTTTTTAAGTTGCATGAGGAAGACCACTTGGAAGTCGAACAATCTGGAAAGCTTTTTGAATTGGGAGAATGTTTCTCTTGGTCATGCGAACTTGACTGCCTTGAGTTTCGTTCATGCCTTGTGAGATTTATTATAAGTTTTGTTTTGATAATTTAAATTATATTTTATAAGATAATATTATTTATAAAAGATTTAATTTGATTAATAATTATAAATTTTTTTATGGTGTCTGTGGATAATTTATTTTCAAATATATGTTTGTCATTCATTTTTTTAAAGATAAATGTGATAAAATAAAATAATTATGATTATTTGATATAATTAATTTTTTTCATATATACTGGTTTAAAAAAATGGGAATTAGTTTTTGTTTGTTTTTTAAATTGATTCTTTTTATTTATTTATTTTGTAGGTAGAGAATCTTTAAAAAAAATGATGAAAATTTTAATTTTTTTAATAATAAGATAAAATAAGTTTATTATTTCTAAGTTAAATAATTTTTTATTTATTTTTGATCAGAAAGTTAAATAACTTAAGTTATGATATTTATAATGGTGATGTTTGATATAAATTATACACCTCTCTATTGTATAGATTTGTTTTAAGAGTTTGTGTCCAACTATAAAAGAACAAGTTCTTCATAAAATTTGAGATTTAAAAAAACAATTAGTACTTACTCAAAATATATGTAAAAAAAATCTAAATTATCAATGGATCCAACCCGTCTTATTGATAAATTTATTAAGTGATAAATTTATCAGTCATTTTTTATTTTTTTATTTTTATGAATAAATTTACAATGATAAATTTATCAGTCAGGACCTGTAAATAAATAAGTTTGGTTAATATGACCTATCCTACTTTTGGAACTTATTAATTATAGTCTTATTGATAAATTTATCAAGTGATAAATTTGATAAATTTATCAATCTCTTTTATTTTTATAAATAAATTTATAATGATAAATTTATCAGTCAGGATCTATATATAAATAAATTTAATTAGGGTAAATTATAAATACACCCCTTGAGATTTGTTTAAAATACGAATTGTCCCCTGTGATTTGGAAAATTATAAATACCTCTCTGCCATATTTTTTATTTAACAGAATTAATTGAAAATATAAAATTTCTAACTGTTCACCTATACAATAATAAAATTATCTGAATTATTAATTGAAATAAAATTTTAACATTATTAAAAATTGTTAATTAACTTAATAATTTATTAATAAAAGGACCTATTTGTTATGAAATTAGAAATCTTAGGGACATAATGTAATTTTTAAAACCACAGAGAATAATTTATAATTTAAGTAAATCTCATAGGGTGTGTTTGTGATTTATCCATTTAATTAATAGAATTAATTGATAAGTTTTCCTTTAAAAAAAAAAAAAAAAAAAAACCTTCTCAACCAACTAGTCAAACCAGGATGAATTTAACTAAAACACTAGTCTTTTGTCTTTAACCTAAATGACAGCTCGAATTCTTTAATCTCATATTTATGATTTTCTAAACCAATGGAATGACACGTCACCCAAATTATTTCATGAGCTTACCAACCGATCAAACAAATCCACAAAACGAGGCACAAAAACCTAAAATAAAAATCATCGTCCCAAATTCACATCAACTCTCAAACTCAATTTGAAGAAAATCATACACTTCTTCATCCCACTTTCAAACTCTCTAACACTAAAAGATTCTCATTTTTTATTTAAAAAAAAACTTCAATAGGAATATTCATTTATTATTTGTGTATATAGAAAGAAATGACTAACTTATGAAAAGATGTCGCGGGATACAGGTATAAAATTATGGTGTGCATTTATGGAGTGTTTTGAGAAATTAGTAAAAAGTTAACTTTTTAGTTTTTTTAATTTATTTTGTCTTTTTGTGAATAAAAAGTATGAGAAATGATATGATTTAAAATGAATAAAAAACTAAAAATTAACCTTTTATCCTCTTTCTAAATGACCCCTATATCGAAAAGAAGCTCATCACGTGTTGACCTGCTATGTAAGAGCATTTCTAATGGTATGTTATATATATATATATATATATATTTGAACTCTTGTTATTGTTATATTTTGTCTTAAAATTGTAAATTTTCACTCTAATGATAAGACATATGACTTGCTATATATTACCTATAAGTCAACATTGTATTAAATATAGCACAAGTTTTACTTATAACTAAAATTTTTGTCTCTCTCTCTTTCTTTTAGGGATTCACATATAGTATTTTGATTTGACATTTTGTGTTAAAAGCTTAAAACTTTTACATTGTATCATTGAAGCAAAATTGTTAAAATTAAATATTTCAACACTATTTATTGCTAAATTATAACAATAACTAATTTTTACCTATCCAACCATTAAAGATGCTCTAACATATGGTGAGAGGGATGCTGAAGTCGTTGTTTGACGTTGGCTATTTTAGTTAACTTTTTAGAGTTAGGACTTTTTAGCTTGAGACTAAAAAGTTCGTTTAGTTTGATTTTTTTTTGACCTTTTTGATTTTTATAAAAAAATAAAATAAAATGATTATGATTTAAATATGACATTTTGTATTATTAACTTTTATTTTATCTTTTATGCTTTTTTAGCTCAACTAAATTAGCTAAGCCAAGGCTAAATGGGATCTCCTGTGGATATCTACACTTGTAATTTTATAGGAAACTGATTGTTAGTGAGCTGAATTAAAAGGACACATGTCAAGAGCCATGAGACACATAACAACACTTTGTTGGAGGAACTCCCTCCCTCCCGCAATTTCACAAACCAATTAAACCGTTGAGCTTCACAACCAAATTTGAGCAAAGGTTGTTTTCCCGCCAAATAGTTTTCAAATGCTAAGGCTATTCCGAACAAGTCATGGACATCTCTTTCAAACCCCCCAAATCAAATTCAAAAATCCTAATTTTCTCATACCCATTTCTCATCTTCTCGGAACCCTACTTCTTGATTCGAAGCAAGGTTTTGTATTGAATGATGCTGAGGAGATTCCTTCGACAAAGCCCTTAGAGCAAAGAGATGAATTTGCAAGAGTGAATGTCCAACAGTTTGATCAGAGCAATTCGATGAAGAAATGCAAGATTCAAATTTCGCATCCATGGCCTGAATGGGTGGAATTGATGGAACAATTGTGTAAAAATGGCTACTTTGAAGGAATTGGGAATCCCTACCTGAAAGGTGAATTGGATGTGAAGGATGCAAATCGAATTCGGACTGCTTGTCTTAATTTTGCTCGCGACAGGTTTGATCTTATGAGGTAATGACTGAATAATTTGATGATGTTCGTTTGCTTTATATGCGGTAGCTGTACGAGATTATACTAATTTTGAGCTGTTGGATTGAACAAGAAAAGTGGGTATTGATTTGAATTTTGTTTGGGAGCTTAGTTGTTTGTATATAATTTGGTGTTTTTGATTGTGCATATAACCTGTTTGATGTTGGAACTGAGTGAGAGATTTGACTATATGTGGGGTTAACCGTAGAATTGTTTATATTCAAGTAATGCCAATACTTGTCATATGGTATATTTGGTTTGTGATTGTGAGCAACCATTTCTTGTATTCCGTTCTATTAGAACCTCTCCATTCATGTGTTTTGGCAGTTATGAGTGCCTTTTTGCTGAACTTTAAGTCATCTCATATTGGATTCAAATGTAAAAAAGAAAAAGAACCATCGCTTATTGATCACAGCAAAGGACTGTTAATTTCAGTTTTGGGTTAATGTTCAAGAAATCAGCGAAGGACTCGTAAGATTTCCCTTATACCTTGCATAAATGAAATTTCTCTTCGGAATGAAATATTCCATTCATAGTATGCCTTACTTCCAGGTACTTTTCAAGGAAAGATATCCAGCTAATTGTAGGATCTGGATGTCTAGTGATAGATAGGAAAGTTATCAACTCAGGGAAGCGTCTAAGGGCACATATGGGTATTGATGAAGGAAATGTATGTGCTGAATTTTTAACTCATCTTTATGCATTAAAGATCATCTTGCCAAGAGACTAGGCTTTCATCAAATCGATAACAAAATTGACTTTCAATAGGTTTGCAGCTCCTGCATTTTGAGGGGAAAGTGCGATAGGGCATATGTAATGGCACGTGATGGTGAAGATGGGCGGACTGTGGATGTGATGCGCATCTTATTAACATATGGACTTGATCCCGTTACCCATGTGGTTGAGAACAAGCCGTGTCTAAATAACTTTGTTAAGGAATCAGTGAGAAGGTTGCTGAAGGTAATGGTAGATCATAGCATGAAGGAACTGAATTCTGATCCCCCAACTGCCACCATTACCAAATGGGACCCATCTATGCAAGAAAGTTCAGTTCACCAAGTACAAGGTCATATCAGTGTCTCAATGAAGCAAGGCGATTGGATATGCTCCAAGTAAGTCCGTCATATCAATTTTGTTTGGAATATTATTTTGTTATATATGACAGTTAATCAATGTTATAGATTTTGTTTTATTCTTTACTTTTTAGGTGCAAGTTTAACAATTTTGCCCAAAAGACCAAGTGCTTGCATTGTGATGGACTATTCCCAGAAAGACTCAGAAAACTAGGAGAGGATCAAAATCATCTTGCATTAAAGAAGGGAGACTGGATATGTTACAAGTAAATCATTGTTCAGATCATTAACTTTTTGTTCCTTGCATTTTCTTTTACTCATTATTGCTCAAATCTTTAACAGATGCAAATTCTTGAACTTTTCAAAGAATACAAGATGTTTTCAGTGCAATGACAAACCACCAAAGCGGCAACTCAATCATGGGGAGTGGGAATGTGACTCGTGAGTTCTCTACTTTCAAATTTATTGGGACATCTAAGATCAATGTTATTGAAAATGGTATGTCTTATATTTACTAAATTTAGCATGTTACAATTAGATGTTATTGTGCAGGTGCAACTACATCAATTTCAGAAGAAACATAGTATGCATAAAATGTGATCATAGACGGCCAAGAGTGTCATATTCTGGAGGCACTTATGCTCAACCTCAACATTGGGGTTATCATCATCCACAGCCTTTTGATGGGCATGAGAGGCCAAGGAGAGACAAGAGGAGTTAATATGTGGAAGTTCTTGGATGATGAAAACAATTACTGTGATGACTCAAAACTAGCCTAATTTGGTCCATGATTTACAGATTTTCCCGGTGCAGGCCAGAGAAATTTCTCTTGGAATACCCAAACCCTGAAAATATTATGGATCTATTGATGATGATGAAGAGGTGACCGAATGGTTTGGAGTCAGAGATAAATACAACCTGGATCTATTATGGAAGATAGATTGATTATGAGGGTAAAGTGATTGAGAAATGGTTCAACTTATCCAAGAGCCTCTAAAAGGTTCAACTTATCATTTCTTTTTCTTTTTTTTTGTCCATATCTTTTTGTTCTCAACTTGTCATTTTGTCCCCCACTTGTCATTTTGTCCCTTGTGTCCTGCTTGTTTTTCTTGGTAGCCAAGAAAAGAAATGGTAAATTGAAATCCTATGACGGGATGTGTTTTTCTTTTCTTTGCTTCTCCATACCCATGTCAGCCGCCATACAAAATATAGAGACAATGTAATCGTTACTAATTTCTATTTGTAAAAATCATCCAACAAAGCTGCACAAACATTTACAGCATGCTACTACTTGTAATTTGTCAATATTAGTTTTTGTTAGTAAGACCCTTCAAATTGTTTCAATCATGTTGTTTCTTGTGCACTTGACAAATGAGTATTATCACACATATTTCACATTTATTATACATGAAATTGTTCATCCAGTGTGGGCTGAATGTCCATACTAACTTGTAAAGCTCTATATATATTATAATCTTTCCTCCCTAGGTTAGGAGAGGAAAAAATAAATAAACTGTTGGAGTTAAGAGAGATAAATTTGGTTTCACTTTTCAAGATTTACTTTTTAGAAAATTATAAGTTTTTTTTGTTTTTCGTATGTTTTTGTTTTCATTGAATTTTTTTAATATCTTAAGCAAATTTTTATTTATTTTTAATCTTTAGTTACGTCTAACTTAATGCACTCAAAAAATATAATATTTGTAAAAAAAATCTTTAAAAAATTTGCTAAATATCAAAAATATAAAAATCCAGTACATTTTTGTATTCTTGTGTATTTGTTGATTTTTTAAAATATTTTTTTTACAAATTACTTTTTAGATATTTGTAAGTAAGGTGCATCTAAAAAAAATAAAAAAATTGCTTAAAATTTTAAAAATATTCACTAAAAATAAAAATAATAAAAAATAAAAAATTCAATTTTTAAAAATTGAAACTAAACACAATGATATTTTGAAGAATTTTTATCATTATGACTGGGAAGGGGTAAAAAAAACAAACCAGTATTGCTGTGATTTGTTTCTCAGGTTTTAATTGATGTTGGATTTTGTTTATGGATGTTCAAATTAATATGGAAACTTAATTTAAAGATAATGTATTTTACATGCTAGTTTTTAAATTTAAATTTAACTTTTCGGATAGAGATGAAGTGTTAAAGATATCACAAAAATTTTAAATTAAAATTTTCAACATCACATTTTTGTAGATGCAAATTAAGACATTATTTTATTTTATTTTTGAAAGCACTTATCTAGTTGTTTGTTTGTCTATCTATTTATTTATTTATTTTTATCTTTGAATAAATGAAATATGATCTAATAGAATAGAAACTGAGTGTGACATTTTTCAATCTATTTAAAATGTAAAAATTCAAGAATTTTCGGTTGAGATTTTGAAACTATGAGAACTCCAACTCTGAAAATCTCACTTTTGTATATAATATATACTAGTGGTAACCTGTGCTATGCACTGAAAAAATAGACTATGTCTCCGTTTAACAAGTTGGTTTATAGATTTTTTTGGTTATTTTAGCCACAAAGACAAAATAGGCTATCTTAGCCCCAACAAATAAAACATCACATCCAACCCATAATCGTTGCACTCTTCTCTTACAAAAAAATCAAAAAAGCCAAAAAGCCCTTCTCAAACCAAGTTTTTTAGTCCAGACTAAAATAGTCAAAAAAACTAAAAAGCCAAAAAGCCAACCAACTTCCAAGCCTATATACATTTTGTGTGATAAATAAATTATTCTAATTTTAAATTATTTTTAATAGCAGCAAGTCATGATATTAGGTCATCCTGGTAGATGTTAACCATAATTAATCTACAAAATTTCACAATAAAATTTGATATGCATAAAAAATTGTTAATTATAAAGATTATTAGGGATAATAGTTCACAATCACTTGATAACATAAATAACTTATATCAAACTATAGTATCATGTAGAAAACAAAAAATAAGAAACAAAAACAAAGTATTAAAAAAGAGAAATTCTATAAACTCAGAAAAGTTATCATAAATTTACGTAGACTTTTAAATCAATTGTTTATATTATTATTGTGGAACCAAATTATGAATAAATCTTAATTTTTAATTATAATTTTTAAGTAGTTTTAAAAAAAATTTAATCTAAGTTTGTTACCATACTCATAAAAAAACACTTCTCAAATAAATCATTAATTGATCCGGTTAAAAAAAACAAAAAACAAAAACAAAGTATTAAAAGAGAGAAATTCTATAAACTCAGAAAAATTATCATAAATTGACTTAGACTTGTAAATTAGTGGTTTATATTATTATTGTGGGACCAAATTATGAATAAATCTTAATTTTTAATTATAATTTCTAAGTAGTTCTTTTTTAAAAAAAAAATAATTTAAGTTTGTTACCTTACTCATAAAAAAAGCTTATCAAATAAATCATTAATTGATCTTGTTAGTAACTATCTATCTTTGATTTCCTCTATCAATGACACATGCATATAAATCCTTCTCCATGATCGTTTTCTCCATAACTTGAATAATACTTGCATAGTTCCTACAACATTTAAAAAGCTTAAATCAAGATAAGAATTTCGTAAGATTATAAAAATTATACAAGAAAATAATTTTAATCCATTTTATTTATTAAAAAAATGATGACAAATTATTTGAATTGTTCTTTAAGAAATATAATATATGATAGCTTTAATCATTATATATCAAAAAAATATATATATATGTTACTCAACAAAAAAATGATCGAATGCAACTAAAGTCATGGACATTGAATTAAATCATATGGAGTCTAAATTGATAATATAATCTAGCAAATCAACTAATAATAACAGAGAGATATCGACAAATATGTAGTACTTTCCTACCATTTTTGTATTATGTTTATTAATTTCATATATCATATTAACGTTTTACTCGTCTTGATCTTTCAATAAAATAAGTACCGAGAAAACAAATTTGATAAGAAATTGGTTCTAAACTTTATTATTAAAAAAACAAAAAAAAAAAAAGAGAATTTAGATATGAGATTTAAGAAATATTATAATAAATGACAGTCTTATAAAAAGAAAAAGAAAAAGAAAAAGAAAAAATATATAGCAATGATCTAATACAAATTAGTTTTAACAACTAAGAGAAATAACATCAAATTATTAAATTGGATAAATATAGTGACGAAAATTAATTTTGTGAGATTTTTATGCTGCCTCCTCCCATGCAGCCTTCATTGTTTCATTATTAATATTCTTCTCCTTCAGAGCCAACTATTTATTTTATTTTATTTTATATCTTTATCACTTGGTATATAATAACGAATAATAAAAAATATGAAGAGAATGTTAAGAATTTAATAGGAGATGAAAGTTATAGATGAGGACATTTCATAAGATAAAAAATTCAAAATAAAAAAAGGATAATATATGATAGAAGGAGAAAAAATATAAGTAAATCAAAATAAAGATTTAGATAGATATGTTTTTGATAGATACAGATTAACAAATCATATCTTTACTTAAATTTTATTGTTTTAATTTTTTGTAAATCAATTATTTAATCTTTATCTTTATCTATAGATCACGACATTAATTTTTATGAATTATTTATTATTTATTAATAAGTCATGAAATCAATTTTTTTAAATAATTTTTTTAATTTTTATCTTTATCTATAGGTCATGAAATAGTTTTTCATAAATTATTTATGAAATTTTATATGTTTATCTATAATGAAATTAATTAAAATAAAAAATGAAAGGCAAAAAAATGGGGTAATTTCATTTTTTTAAAATCAATTTTTTAACCTTTATCTTTATCTGTACGTCATGAAATTAATTTTTATAAGTTGTTTATCAATTTGTATAAGTTCATTGATGGGAAAAAATTTTAAATCATTTATAAGTTATGAAATTTATTTTTTAAAATTAATTATTTAATTTTTATCTTTATCTGTAGACCATGAAATTAATTTTCATAAATTATTTGTCAATTTTTATATGTTTATCTATATGGAGGAATTTTGAAATTCAAATCTTTATCCATAATATGGGAAGAAATTTTAAATTATTTATAAGTTATGAAATTTATTTTTTAAAATTAATTATTTAATTTTTATCTTTATCTGTAGTCCATGAAATTAATTTTCATAAATTATTTGTCAATTTTTATATGTTTATCTATATGGAGGAATTTTGAAATTCAAATTTTTATCTATAAACCATGAAATTAATTTTCATTTTAATTAATCAAACAAAAAGAAAATGGAAGAAAATGGAAAACATGAAAGACAATTAAAGAGGCTGCAAATATAAAAGACAATCAAAGAGGGTTGTCACGTAGGAAAGAGAGAACTTTAAAATTATGAGAATTTAAGAATGAATATTTGGAGACTTTTGTCAATACAACTATGAAATTAATTATTTAATTTTTATCTTTATCTGTAGACTATGAAATTAATTTTCATAAATTATTTGTCAATTTTTATATGTTTATCTATATGGAGGAATTTTGAAATTCAAATCTTTATCCATAAATCATGAAATTAATTTTCATTTTAATTAATCAAACAAAAAGAAAATGGAGGAAAATAGAAAACATGAAAGACAATTAAAGAGGGTTGCCACGTAAGAAAGAGAGAACTTTAAAATAATGAGAATTTAGGAATGAATATTTGAAATTTTTTACCAATACAATTATATTTGATTATATATATAGTATAGATAGATAGATAGATAGATACACCCACATATAGATTGAGTCATACATTTAAAATTTGAAATTAACTTGAATTATGTATATAATCTGTTGTTGGAAAATTGGTTTATATAGGCATATTTCGGGCCAACTTTGAGCCCAAAATTGAGTGGGTCCTGAACGTCTTTTGGGGCGGGTCCAAAAAGGTGAAGTGTTTTTTGCCGCGTGGCAAGTCACACGGTGAAAACGGTTCGTCAAAACCATTTATGAGTGAATGGGAACATGACGTCGTTTTCGGGTTCGTAGAATAAGAAATTTAAGGAAGTAAATGTGGGTTTCTTTGGAAATGTTTGTCCCACATTGAAACTTTAAGAGAGTTTATTTGTATATATAAGCTCTAGCCTACAACATTTGGGTTGGGCCCCAAGGGGCACCCCAAGTTTGTAGAACGGAGGAGTTATGAACAAAGTGAACCTTGGCCAAACCACTACACGCGCGCCGCCGCCGTCCAGCTGTGCCGGGCACGGGTGTGGGTTGCGGGTCGGGTCGGTTCTTGTATTAATTTTTTGGACAAAATTGATTTGAATTTTTTCAAAAAATTATTGCGGGAAATTAATTCAAAATTTGAATTCTACATTTCTAA